AGAGGATGCAACATACAAGCAGAAGCAAGGAATATAGATGAGAAGGAAAATGATTCCAAGGGTCTATCACTCCTTGAGGTGATCAGTGGAGAGACCCCTGGTATTAGGAGTTACTCACCCATGAAGGGGTCAACGACATGTCTCTTCTTAACCTTGGTCTCACTCATTGCTGCATAGTAGGCACAGGTCATCTTAATGAGCCAGGCGGCACGCATCACAGGTACTGTGTATTTGGCTAAGTACCCAAACACTTCTTCCTTCTTACTGAAAATGGGGACCTGGATGGGCATCGCAAATGGTTGAGATCTCTTTTATCCCCACGAGCTGGCACTCATGCAGCTTAATGTGAGAACAGGAGGGTACTTGGTGCCCATGCTTCCTTCCCCCCCCCCCCCCCGCTCCATGCACGCACATGGTTGGCCCGAAGAACAGGAAACAGTATCTCACCTTCTTGGCTAGTTGTGTGAGTGGCTTGGTGCCAGCCAGGTCAGTGAACCAGGTGTTAATGGTACTCTGGGATCGTGCAGTCACCAGCCAGAAGTTGTCCTTCTGGTTCACTTGGGGCTTCCTGCGACCAGTGTCAGGGAGGGTGTTACAACGTAACTTCTCTGCAATAATGCTGCTGAAGTTGGAACTGATCTGAGGGAAGAAAGGGCACAGAGGTAGCCATGCCTGTGATGGGCCAATGCCAATGTGGCAGCAGTTGGTTATGAAGGAGAAGGAACTCAGCTGCCACTTAGGTCGGCCCTTTAAGTCTTCCCAACCCAGGGCCTTCACTTCTTCTCAGATTCTTCCAGCCTTTTCCTTCAGCCTGGCATGGTTTGCTCACCTTGGCAGGATTGAAGTTGACGTTCTTGGCACTGCCATGTTCATCCCCAGAGACAGCAGGCTGGTTATTGAAACCTTGTTTTACATTCAAGGCTGTCAGTTCATCCTGAGACAGGAAAGCAACATTTTAGCCTTTTTTTTCCCCTTGCGGGTATGGTGGTGGGAGAGGAGGGTAGGAGAGAATCAGGAAGGAGGGTGGAGGTCCCTAAGTAGCACGGGCTGTTATTTAGAGCTAGGCCCCCCCATGTCCATTTGGACCCCACCCTCAGGGCCACAGTCACTCCGATGCCCCATCAGCCAGGGCTCGTGCCTCATCGCTCTTCCCTCGCAGGCTGGCAGCAGCCTCGGCTCAGCGAGCTGCCTCAGACAACTTTCTGAGGGGTATGTGTGTAGGGGGCGCCTCCAGCAGGCCCCTCCATCGTCCTCTATTCACGCCCAGGAACCGCCCCCCAGCCCTCCAGGTCCCACTCTCCCCCACCCACTTTACTCTTCCCCCTTTCGGGACTTTCATTCTCACCAGACCGCCCCGCCCCCCCCCCTCGGCGCTTCCCCTGCTGCTGATCGCTGGCCCCCGGCCCTGTCACAGCCCCGATCTGTGAACGCACCTCCTTCTGTTTGGGATCTTGAGGGTACACATCGGGAGGCCCCAGCCGCGGCCGCTTCAGGGGCCGGTGTTCGTAGCTCAAGATCCCGAAGGCCGCCATCTTGCCCAGCCCGTAGCGCCGGAGGCACCAGCCTGACCGGCTGTGGGGAGGGTGAGAGGGAGCCGCAAGGGGGGCGGCGGTGGCGAGGACGGCGGCCGAGAGACAACAGGGGGCACGTTAGAAAGTCCCGATCACTGCCGGAAACTACCGAGGGGCACCGATGGACGCTGGGAACCGTCAGACTGTACCGACCACGGTGGGGCGGGGCCAGGCCGGTGTGGGGCGGTGCTCCACGCCCGGGAGCGTTTCTCCCCGGCAGCCGGGGATCGGTTTCACACGGCCAGCAGCTCTGCGACGTCGCCCAGCCGCGCGTTGGGCGGGGAAGCGAACCTGCCAGGCGGGAGGCAACCTCACTGCCGTGCGCTGACTGGCGCTGGCTTCCCAGCGCCCGGCTCGGTCCTTGGCCTGGAGTCGGTGCTCGGTAGTATTGTATTGGTTAGGAACTCTGCCTCTTACAGACCACTCTCCGTCTCCTCGTTTCCTCATCTAAAAGTGGGTGTACCGATACCACCTTCAAAGAAGCGTTGTGAAGAGTCGAACCTATTAGGCGTAAGAAAGCACCGTGGAAACCCCCGAATGGCTGGATCTAACCCCTCAATGCCTTTATGGCCTAGCACTGAGATTCTGAACCCTTCTTGATTCATAACCCCTTTGAGATATTTATGGAAGCTGTGGCCCTGTCTCCAGAAAAATGCGCCTTGAGACGTACAAAATGTTAGATACTTTCCAGGGGGATCCTTAGACCCCTGAAGGCTAAGAACCCTTGCTCTAGCGAAAGAGGCACCGGTGCTACTAAGTGTCAGATGCGTTTCCGACATTCTCTCCTTTAATCCGCACACAGCCCCATGAGTTAGGGATTTCTGTCTTCATTTACGGGATGAGTAGGCTGATTTTCAAAGAGTGAAAGTTCACTCACCAATGTTCTACAGCCACTGAGTTACAGACCTGAGATTAGGATTCCTTTCTTCGCTCTTGAGCCAATATTCTTTCCATGATGGTATTTGTTGCATTTTAGAGAAAAGACACAGTGCTATAATAAAAGTAACAAACAACCATAAATAAAAGTAACAAAACTAGCAAATAACGAATAACAATAACAATAACAAAATGCTACTGAATCACAATGGGGAGATGAATTAATTCTGATTTAGAAGAGTAAACATTCCGCTTAAAGGCGTTACCATTTGAGCTAACCCTGAGAAATTTTAAGCCACAGAAAATTAGGGTGCATTACTAATGAACATAAGCACAGTGCCTGGCACATATTAAAGGCTCAATAAATGTTTGCTGAATAAACAACTTTTGTCAATAGTCTCTCCAACCAGCCCTGTGTTTCGGGGAAGATAAATCTGGCAACAGGATGGAGAATGGATGAGAGAGCAGGGAGCCTTTAGAAAGGGAGGCCATGAAATTACCGAAATGCCCATCGGTAGATGACTGGATTAAGAGACTGTGGTACATTTATACAATGGAGTATTACTCTGCTATAAAGAAGAATGAGGGCCGGCCGAGTGGCGCGAAGGTTAAGAACTGGCTTGGGACGCCGGAGGGCCCCGGTTCGGATCCCACATATGAGGGCCAGTGACACTGCCCTCCACAGCTAAGACGCTGAACAACAGCTCAACCTGGAGCTGGACTGATGTGAGTCGCCGGCGACAGCGTAGGCTGCCAGCCCCTGTGGCGGTGGGTTGCCATGAGCTACCATGTGTAGCCAGCAGCTAGTGTGAGCGGCCAGCAGCCATTGTGAGTGGCCGTCCAGATGCCGGCGACTGATCTGCCTCGCCCGGGAAGAGCGCAATGATGGTGCCAACTTGGGCCAGTGAAGCAACGTCCTCCACAACTAGACTGAAGAACAAAACGACAGCAACTTGTCTGTTCCCCTTCCCCCAATTCCCCAGCACTGTTCCCATGCCCCCAACTCCCCAATAAAAATCTTTAAAAAAAAAAAAGAATGAAATCGTTCCATTTGGGATGATATGGATGGACTTAGAGGCTATTATGTTAAGTGAAATAAGTCAGTCGGAGAAAGACAAATACCATATGATTTCACTTATATGTGGAATCTAAAAAACTGAATGAACGAGGAAAGTAAACAGAAGTGGTCTCAGAGATACAGAGGCACAACTGATGGTTGCTAGTTGGGAGGGGGTGGGGATGAGGGAGAAGGGAAAGGGGTTAGACAGCATAAATACATAACTACAATGTTGCCACAGGGACATGAAAGACAGTTCGAGGAATACAATTAATAACATTGTAAATATTTTGTAGGGTGTCAGGTGGTCACATGTCTTGCTAGGGAGACCACATCATGGATGGGGAAGAGGCTTGATCACTGCACTGTACACCTGAAGCTGATGTTGTATAATATTGTATGTCAACTATAAGTGAATATATATATATATATATATATATATATATATATATAGTCATGGGATGTGGAGTATAGTGTGCGAGTGGAGTCAAGGGGATTGTAATAGATATGTATGATATTGGGGGGAAGTGGGGCGGCGGATTGGGGGAGGGGGGTTGTCACTTAGGGGGGTAAAAAGTATAACTATTGCACTGTGTTGTACAGCTGAAACCAATTCAAAAAAATGTGTATTTCATAATAAAAAATAATTAAAAGGAAAAAAAAAGAAAGGGAGGCCGGTTAGTAGGTTCTAGTAAGAATCAGGACTAGAGGGAATGAAAGGCTGATTTAGCACAGTGCCTGTGGTCATGGGAAAGAGGACACTGCTGGGAGGAACACTGCAGAAGAAGCAGAGCCGATTGGATTCTCAGGGTAAGAGGGAGGAATTGGAGATGACTTTGAAGTTTCAAGTCTGGGTGACTGAGAGGGTGATGATACCATTAACTGAGACAGGGGTGGCGGGGAAGCAGATCTAGGGGAAGACAAGGAGTTTGAAGCTAGGATTGTTGTTCCTCCATTTCTAGAATCTACTTCTAGGTCATACCTCCTCAGCAGTCTCAACAGGGACCCAGCATAGGCAGGAGCTAAGAGTGGATGTTCTGGTGTGGATTAGATCAGAGGAAAGACATCTATATAGGAGCCCACAGAAGTCAAGGCTGTATTTTGCATCCAGCCAAGACAGTAGAGCTTTGACATAGGTGTCAAGGTGACTGATCCAAGGAAGGAGCATAGCATAGGATGGGGAAGAGGTTCAGACCCTCCACTACCTAGGATACAATGATTTTGATGAGAAGGTGATTGGGAACGGTGGCGGTGGTGGTGGTGATCAGATCCGTCCCAGGATATAGGTAGCCTACGGATTCTGGAGTCTGTGACAATATTGTGTACCCAGCCTACTTAACACCACTTTGCAGAGTGGTGGTGTTATACCTGCAGATTAGATTAACACCTAATCTCCCAGAAGACTTGACCTGTGTCGTAGCACACATTTGCCACACCCACTAGAAAGCCCTGGTTTCTAAGGTTCTTTCCACCGGAAGCGATGACAGAAGGAAATGTGTGGGCAGTGGGTGAGGGGCCCAGGTTCCTGAGCCAGTACACCCAGGGAACGAAGAGCGAGCACCATGTTGAAGCTACCATTGCCTCTCGGATCCCTCTTTTTCCTGCAGCTGCCTCTGCTGGGGATGGAGCTGACCCCAACGGTCCCCGTGCCCAGTAGGAATGAAGACATCACAACTGGTGGGAAACCTGGGACTGGACGGGTTGGTGAGAAGGGAGGCTGTGGGAAGGGGCCGTATAGAAATCTGGAGCCTGCCACTGGACATGACAAGGAAGCGGGTAGAATTTAAGAGTACTGTGGGGAAGCTGGGGAAGGGCTTCCTGCCTCACACTGCTTCTTCTTCTGACCATCATTTCTTGTCTTCCGCTCCCCCACTTCGTTTTCTTGCCAACCTAGATTTCTTCCTGGCCTCTACACCTTGTGAGACCCTCAGTGTTTCCACCCTGCCCCTCCCAGAGGTTCAGTGTTTTGTGTTCAATGTCGAGTACATGAATTGCACTTGGAACAGCAGCTCTGAGCCCCAGCCCACCAACCTGACTCTGCACTATTGGTATGAGAAGGGAAGAGGGGATAGCACAGGGGAGGAAGAGGAGGTGGGCTAGTTGTAAGAGACTGCATGGGGACCAGAAAGCGGGTAGCCAGCATCCCAGGCTCCCCACTGTTTCCTCATGGGGTAAGTCGTAAGTCGTCAGTTCAGAGGACATGAGGCTGGGCTGTGGATGTCTGTAGTACCCAAGTTCACCCCAACGTTCCTCTTCCTTCCAACCCTTCTCTAGGTACAAGAACTCTGACTATGACAAAGTCCAGGAGTGTGGCCACTATCTATTCTCTTCAGAGATCACTTCTGGCTGTCAGCTGCAAAATGAGGAGATCCATCTCTACCAAACATTTGTTGTCCAGCTCCAGGACCCACGGGAACCTAGCAGGCAGGCCACAAGGAAGCTAAAACTTCAGGATCTGGGTAATTTAGAAAAAGGCTCAAGGGCCCAGGGATATTGTGGGGCATGGGAGTACATGGAGTGGTGTTCTTTTACCAAAGGCTGCTTGGGCAGAAAGGAGGAGGAGAGGGATCGGGGTGGAGAAGGGAGGAGGGATCAGGAGCACTACCTCCAGGGCAATAAGCACACATGCACACATATCTCCAGTGATCCCCTGGGCACCGGAGAACCTAACACTTCGCAGCCTTGGTGAGTCCCAGCTGGAGCTGAGGTGGAGCAGTAACTTGAACAATAACTTGAACCACTGTTTGGAGCACCTGGTGCAGTACCGGAGTGACCGGGACCGCAGCTGGACTGTGAGTGACTGGCGACATGAATGTAGCAGTGGAGGCCAAGCAAGGGGGGATCAAGGATTCAATCAGCCAAACCAGAGGGTCTGATCCCAAGCTCCTGTTGTCTGCCTTCCAGTTTCCCTGCCCACCCTCTGCCCTCCTCCAAGTCCTTTCCCTGGCATCACCAGTGAGTTTTCCTTAAGGTTTCCCTATGCCAGACAGACAAGAAAACGAAAGGAAGCCTTTCAGGGGATCTGGAGAGAGGCATCAGACTCTAGTCACTGAAGGGAGTGGTGTGGCTTGAGTAGTCAAGAGAGGCGGAAGGGAGGGGGGAAGAGCCAGAAGATGCAGGGACAGGGACAGCAACTTTAATTCTCCCTGCTTTTATGGACACCCATCTTTCCCTTACTCTCTTTCTCCCCAAGGAACAATTAGTAGGCCAAAGCCCAAGCTTCACCCTGCCTAGTGTGGATGGGCAGAAACTCTACACATTCCGTGTTCGGAGCCGCTATAACCCACTCTGTGGAAGCTCTCAGCACTGGAGTGAATGGAGCCACCCGACCCACTGGGGCAGCCATACTTCAAAGGGTAAAGGGGGCCCATGAGCCCAGCACCCCAACCTTTCTAGCACCACTGTTTATTGCTCTACCTCCATACCCTTAAGCTCTCAAACTTGGTGGCCCATCTCCCCTCACTGGTCAACCCCAACCCCTAGGAAGCAGGGTTTTTCAGTGTAGGGGTGGGTCGCTGTGTTGTTAGAGTAGGGGGCTGGATTGAGAAGGAGACCAAAAAGTGCTCAAAAGGGGAGAAGAATGTATAAACTACCCCTCCAGCATTTCCTGGGAGCCTGCATGGTGCAGATGGCTTTGGAACCAGCCAGACCTTGGGTTTCAGCTTGCCTCTGCCACCTACTCTCTCTCATCTTGGGCCCATCACCAACTTCTTTGACTGTTTCCTCATCTATCAGATGGAGATACTAATTGGTCCCCCCCTCATGAGTTGTGAGGATCAAGTATACGGAAAGTGTTTAGCACAGGGCCTGGCACCAAGTTGGGGCTCCACCAATGTTGGCACGTCATAGGGGCGCAACAAATGTTGGTGCCCTCTTCCTCCCCCTTCTCCATAGACAGCCTGATGTTCTTTGCACTGGAGGCCATGCTCATCCCCCTTGGTTCCATGGGACTTGTCATTAGCCTCATCTGTGTGTACTGCTGGCTGGAACGGTGAGGCTTCAGGAAGCCTAGGAAAATGAGGTGGGAGTGGCTGGGAAGAGGACGGTTATTCCAAGATCTCCAGAAGCAGAGGGCAGGAGAGTAAGGAAGGAGGGGTCACCCAGGTGGGCGTGGTGGTGGAAGGAAGCTGCAAGCGCAGAGAACATCGAATCTCCCTATTCAATATGGGAGAGCTGGCAGAAGGGTCATAAAAGAGCATCACCAATGTGTTCCTGCTCCTTCTTTGTCCCCCCACCTAGGACGATGCCCCGAATTCCTACCCTGAAGAACCTAGAAGATCTGGTTACTGAATACCACGGGAACTTTTCGGTGAGAACATGGTCATAGGCACACAGTCTGTCAACTGTTGACTGTCTGTGAGCAAGATGGACAGAGTATGGGGGCAGAGAGGAGGGGAGGAGAGGGGGACCTGCCCTAACTGTCAGGATGTGGCCAACCATCTGGGGGATGGGCTAGATGGAGAGAGACACACAGAAGAACTGATTATAGAATGGGTGAGGCAGATGGAAACAGTCGTATTGGGGGCCCATGAGTCTGTGTGTTCCTCCTGTAATCGCAGTGGTACACACGTTGTCATGAGAGCTCCCTTGGCACAGAGCCTGGATCTTTTACTTCCTGCCCCTAATTGACCCCTGACCTGGAGATATCTGTCTTTAGGCCTGGAGTGGTGTGTCTAAGGGATTGGCGGAGAGCCTGCAGCCAGACTACAGTGAACGGCTCTGCCACGTCAGTGAGATTCCCCCCAAAGGAGGGGCTCTAGGGGAGGGACCTGAGGGTTCCCCCAGCAGCCAGCATAGCCCTTATTGGGCTCCCCCATGTTATACCCTGAAACCTGAAACCTGAGCGCTGATAACCTGACAGAAAACCCCAGGGCCCTAAACCCTACCTTCCCCTTGTCCCACTAGCCTGGATCCAATGCTTGCCTTGCCACCCTGCGGCTGGTTTTGAATTGTGTTCCCCCTATATCTGCCCTCTTATTCAATACCTCCTCCTTGTGAATTGCCCCTTTGACCTGTACATGTTTCTCCCTCCCTCTTTCCATCCATCCTTCAATTGTTCCCAAATCAGTGAGAAATAAAGTTTCTGTTGATACTAATGAAGAATGTCTGTTGTTGGGGCGGGGAGCAAGGGGAACATGGGGTACAGTAATGGTGGGGGGCATGGTGCCGAGGGCAGGAAAAGGAGTAGTAGACTCCTGCTGTGGAAGTAGTAATGCTACAAATTAACTAGAAAAGAGTACTTACTGTTCCAGAAACTTACTTTTCTCTAGGTGTCCTGCACTCCTTCTGCAGTCCAGTTTAGAGTTAGATTGACCATGTTGCTCCCACTCGCAGCAAATCCTTTACAGACCTCACCCAGGTTCTTCCCCCCTTATTCTTACTCCACTTTCTGCCACACATACCACTTCTGACCTCATAATCCCTCAACTGCAGCCTCAGGCCCCACCCCTATGGGCGCTGGCTGTCCACTACTACCAATAGCTCTCTCCTGTCTGCTCAGTCTGGACCTCCTCAGGCAATGTGATCCATCCGCTTCTCCAGTCCCCCAACCCCTTGGACCCATTCCCTGTCCCCTCCCCACAACATGTCTGGTGAGTGACATCTGAGAGCATGTTCGCCTACATCAAACATGGAGGTGAGGGGCATCACGGAGCTGGAGTCTGCGTGTAGGGCTGGGAAGGTTTGAGGGCAGTGGAGACCACAAGGACAGTATCACTAGAGAAGGACCACACGCCTCATGCCATCTCTCCTCAGATAATCAGCGGTTTCTGATCAATATCAATTGCTGTGTCTACCTGTTGATGCATTACATCCGCAGTAAATTGGGGTTGGCTAAAACAGGTGAGGAGTTCGCGGGGCAGGGGGGGGGGACTAATGGCCAAGGGTCAGAATTTGTGAGGTCATCTCTAGCCCCCAAGCCCTCCTGCTGGCAAGAAGAGAGCTCCTTGAATCCCGACGGTGTCCTCCAACCCATTCCAGATGGGCTTACTGGCCCCTTTCACTCCTGCTCTCCTTCTTCACCTGTTCCAATTAATTACCCTGTGGCGTCCTTCCAGACACCATCGATTTGTGTGATGAATCGGGGACAGTGAAGTTGCTTTTCCTGATGAAAACCCTTGGAGAATATGCCATCAAATTCCTTACAGCTCGAAACACCTACTACGTTTGTAAGGTGATACGTGGAGCACCAGGTAGAGGCTTGGGAGCACTCCCCAGAGATAGAGCAAGGCCCTCATGATGGATTAGGGACTTTGTCCTTAAAACAGGGCACCCTCAACCAGATCCAACTGACCCTGTCTAGTCAGCCTAAGCAAGGGCACTGCCTCAGTGACAATGGGCTAGGTTCACATACACCATACTTCCCACCTGACTCTAGGGATGGACCTGAGGGGAGGAAATAAGGTACACCAGCTCAAGGTAGCATTGAGTGTTGGGGTCCTGGAATGTTGGGCTTTGGAAGGGTGGAGACTGGGTGACGGGTAGGAGAGAGTGCACTGCTGTGTTCACAGGAACCCGACTTCAGAATGCTTACCTAGCTTTCAGGCCCTTCCTGAAGACTCCAGCATTTGATTTGATTGGTAAGCAGTGTGATGGAGAACATGGCCAGTACTGTACCTAGCTGGTGACGGAGAATATAGAGTGGACCTGGTGCAATACAGCCAGTAGGATCACAGAGTCCTAGGAAAAGGGGAATAGGGTCCAGGTCCACTTTAGGAGGGAGTTTAGCTCCAACCAGGTGGAGTGTGCACATGTCACTCACCTTCCCCCCATTTCTCAGCCATCTTCAAGGTTTGTCTCCCTCTCAGCACCCCATCATGCCCATCTTCCCCTTCACCCTTTTCTCTTGGAGCTTAGGCACCTTCAGACCACTCTTCAGCCTAACTTTAGGCTCGCTCACTCCAAGTGGTCATTTGAATGATGGAAGGTGTGGCACAGGGTAGGTAAGGTCTCTAGTCCTCAGAGCTGTGGGTCCCTTTTCCTGGTTGCTAGATGCCTTGTGCACACAATGTGGCATGCTGGAAAGGAGCCGCCTGAAATTGCTTAGAATGAAAGCCCCCAAGAAAGCCGCTTCAGAAACCTCCGTGAAACTTATAGTAAGAGTCCCCAAATCTGGTCTGCCCCAGCGCCCCCTTCCCTTACCAGCCAACCAAAGGCTCCTCCACCCAGGCCCTCTGGGATGAATTTCCTTTCCAAATCCAACATCCATGCTCCCTTTTTGTCTTGCCTTTGACCCTGCTTTGTAGAAAGAAAGCTTCCTTGCACAGACCTTTTTGTCTTGCCGACCCTTTCCTTTTGCAGGGCAGATCAGGCGAAGACAGGATCACTGCCAGGATTCTGTACCACAATATGAGAGTAGACTTTGTCCGCAGGAAGAACAGACTGAGGCTCAATAAAAAGTAACCAAGTGAGAACAGCACTACTAGGGATGAAATCACTGGAATTTCATGTGAGGTTCCTTTTTCAAGAAACACTCCTTCTCCCAAAACATGCACCAAGGCTGCAGTATGCCCCAGGCACCGAGGAGGCTTTGAGGGTGGGCAGGGGAGGGCTGGGGCCGGCACATGGGTGGGGTGAGGGAAGACAGGGAAGTCTAGTACAATGAGCCTTTGAGGGTCAGCTGGACAGAGTACAGGGTGGGGGCTTTTCCAACCAGACCACCTCCCTTTGAGGGGCGCCTATGACAGCCCGCCTACTACGCTGGGGCTAGGTGGCCCATGGGCCTCTTCCCCCACCACCCTCCCAGCCACCTCACCCAGCAGAAATTCCCCCACCCCCCCAATTCTCTGCCTCTGGGGAGTCCCTCCCGCCAACTCTTTCCCTTTGCTCCTCCCACCCCCTATCCGAGGTGGGCAGTACAGCAGCAGCAACCAGAGCTGGTATAGGCATTTATTGGATTTATTCATTTATTGATTTGACACACTTCCCTACTCCAATCTAGCACATGATACAATCAGGGTAGGCCAGGCGCTGACACAGGAAATGATGGGAACCCACAGTGGGGGTGGGGGAGGGGGGAGGAGACAATGCAAGGGGAAGGGGAGGGGTTGCTTTGGGGGCTGGGGTGGAGGAGCCCCAGATGGCCTCCCTGGCAGGTGCTGGTAAACCTGATCCACATTCCCCTTCATCCCTGCTCATTTCCCAGACCATCAGCCAAGCTCCCCAGCACCCCTTCCCTGTTCCACCCCTCCCCCTGCCTGCCACCACACACACTTCCACACAACCCCTGGAGTCTGGCAAGGGGAAGAAGGGCAGGGACAGCTGTCAGGGGCCTTGAACAGGGAGGTCTCTGTGCCTGACTTTACCACCCTAAATCCTTCCCTCCCTCTCTTCCCGCTCCCACCCCCTTCCCAGGCCACAAAGTAATTCCTGGCCTTCAATGCACTCTCCCACCATAGCACCAACCCACAAGGAGTGATGCAAGAGTGTGGCTGCACCCCAACACCACACACTCCTAGGCACAAGGTGGTAGAATGTGGAGGCCTGGCTTAGCTTTTTCCTGAGGGAAACCAAGCTACTTCCACACGGGCCTTGTTCTAGACCTGGTGCGTGTGGGAGCACCTTTCCTAGCTCAGTACAGCTTCCCACTGGTGCTATCCTGCCCTTGTCCCCACCACCTCCACGTTTCCCCTAGTAATATCTGTAGTGTTTGCATCATGTGACAATGACAAAAGCCTTCAGAAAGAAAGAAGCATTGTCCCCATCACTAGCACCTTGCCACTGTTAAAAATCTCTATATTTGTGTTTACATTTCATTAAAAGTTTATAAAAAGCCTTTCTGTTATCTGCAGCCTTCCAAGGGTGATTTGGCCTGGTGAGCCACTCTAGTGCTCGACCTTGGCCCTTCCAGGTCCCCACTCCCCCCCACTGGCCTAAGGGGCCACTGCATAAAACCCCCAGGCTCAACATCTGACCAGCTCAGATAAGATGCTACAAAAAATCCTGCCCCCAAAGGCAGGGGTAAGGCCACTGGTGACTTCACATTTCCAACAGCACTGCCCGCCCCTGCTACAAAACTTAGGGGTGGGAATGGGGGGAGCCCAGGATGGCTCCCAAGAGGGGGCCTTACCCCCTAAATGGCACAATGAGAATAAACCCCCTCCCTTTCCCAGTCCCCTTTCCTCCCCCCCCCCATAGTTCCCATATGAGGCAGCTTTATCTTTATAATTTCCCCAGCACTCCTGTGAGTAAACCACACCCTAGTTCTAAAGCAGTGTACCAAATTCCCGGGGAGGGGTCAAGGGTAAAGAGTGGATATGGGCACGCCTGGCTCCACCTCTGAAGCAAGGGACAAAGCTTCCAGCCATGGCTCAGGGATCTGTGGGAAGAAGAAATGGAGGACAAGGTAAGAGGCTCATCTGGGGCATGAACACTCTCCACCGTCAAAGTCGACACGCAGGAAAACAGAGACAGCCCTTTCCCCCACCTCTCCTGTGCTACCTCGAAGGGGTGGACCCTGCTGAGGGGCCCGGAGGGTCCATCTGGAAGCTCTGCTATTCTAATATGACACCCACTCCCCCAGTTTCCCAGGAGCTCTACCTACCCCTTCTTTTTATTTTTCAGCTGAGCCATCCTGCCACCTGTTGGCAGCTCAGCTCGGGCTGGGAATTGAACCGGCAACCGCTGTTGTTCAGAGCTCGCACTCTTGAGTGAGCTCTTAACCAACTGAGCTACTCGGCCGGCCCTACCTACCCCTTGTTCTAAGTCTCCCTCTTGCTCAGCTTGTGGGGCGAGCTGGACACCTAGGAGTGGGCGTAGGTTCTGAGATGCTACCGCGATTAGGGATGCTGTACCTGGCTCGAAATTGAAGTCCAGTCCCTCACCCCCATCCATGAGGTCACTGATGATGTTATCCATGTCACACTCCAGGTTCTCCAGATACATATCGAAATCTAGATCCTGAGGCATTATGTCTTGGCTCGTAGCATCAGTAGGGGGTGTGAGCACAGGATTCCCCATGCTCTTGGGGATGGAAGCATCCTCCATGACTGGAGGTGGTGCTATCATAGAAAGTGGGGGAACCAGACTGCTGGGGCCTGGAGCCTCTGGGGGCTTGGGATATAGGCCGACTCCTGTGGCTAGCTTACTGGAGGAAGGTATGCCCCCCAGCAGCAGCAGTGTGGGAGCCTGGGACAGAATGGGGTCTACCTGGGTCATGAGGATATCAGCAGGGGTTCGTTGTTTACTGGAGGTGAGCAGGACCTCCAGAGAGTGGGAGCTTGAGAAGCACCCTTCGCCTGCTGACAGGGGCCCCTCTGCTGGGCTGAAGAGGGAGGCGCTGTAGGTGTGTAAGGGGCCTGGAAGCCCAGGATGCTGCAACGAGAAGCCAGAGAGACTGCTCTGAGATAGAAGGGAGTGGGGAGACGCGAGGCTGAGCCCATCTAAGAGCTCCAGACCATCCTTTCCGGTGGGAGGGACACCCCCTGCATAGCTGCTGACGGAGGCTGCCATTTCCTCCTCTGCCAGCACCTCAGACTCGGGCCCCATGGGTGAGAGCCGGGTGCTGACAGTGCTAGCATTTGAACTGCTTCGTGGACGTAGGGTGGTCCACACATCGGCTTCCTCGCGGTTTCGAGAGCCAGGGCTGCCTGACCACTTGGCAAAGGGGGCAGCAGGGCTCTTGGAAGTGGCAGCTTCGGGCGGCGCGGGCAGCGCAGCTGGCTTCTTCTTGGGCGCCCGGCTGCGGCCGCGGAGCAGCTTGCTGCTGTTATCCATGGAGGCTGCCCGGCGGCGGGGCGCCTTGCCGCTCTTGCCTCCCTCCGGGTTCAGCATCCACCAAGAGCTCTTGCCGGTGGCCTCGTTGTGGACCTTGATGAACTTGCTGTGCAGGGACAGGTTATGGCGGATGGAGTTCTGGAGAGGACAGAGGCAGCAGGAGGGGGACGTCAGGTGTATGTGATGGGGCGGGGCCCTGTGGCACAGTCCGTTGGGAAAGGAAGCTGGGACACAGAAGGGGCATTCCTGGAGAGTCAAAGCTAGTAAAATGCAAGGGAAACCAGAGAGAGATAGGGGTGGGGTGGGGGAGAGGACCACACATGGTCCCGCCTTGGCCTTGGCCTTGGCCTTAGCCTCCGCACGGAGAGACGACTGGAGTAACAACCCATTGTGGGAGGCAGAGTGCCCACCTCAGAAAGGCTCACAGAGTTGAACTCCTCCCAAGTGTCTGGGGGGACTGTGTGGGGACGCCAGGGAGCTGTGTTCCTGGTTTAGCAAGAACGAGGCTCAGATGGGAAAGAGCCTTCCACAGTTCCACGCCTTTCCCAGAGTGCAGGCTCGGGGACAATGGTGCAACACCAGCCCAGGACTGAACCACCCTGTCCTGAGCCAGTTCTCTGAACAGGCTGAGGGGCTGGGACCTGAACACAGCTGGCGTTCCACTCCCCACAGGGCATTTGGGCCCCAGCTCTCCAGAGAATTCGAAGATTCCTTGTTTTCTGATTTCTCCCAGTTCGAGGTCACACCCCCTCAACTATTGTACATTCAGGAAAGGCTTCTCACAGGCCGTCAGATACACAGGGCACATTCTGCCCCCCCCTCACTCCTTGTCCTGGGAAGAAGCTCCCCTCTCTAAATTCTACCAGTTCATCCAGACCAAGCTTAAGTCTCCTCTCTTTTATAAAGTGCTTGCTTGGCTTCTGCAGTCAAATTTCTTGTGCACAATTTTTCATCTGTTCCGCACAATTTTACCCTATCTCCATTGTGTGGTTTAGTTTCACAGAATTAGTCGCATCGAGTGTAAGCGCCCAGGACACGGATCGTGCCGTCCAGTCAGGCACCCCCCCAGCAGTGCCCCCTCAGAGTGCCAAGCTCCCAGTACATACTCAAGCTCCCGCTTGCCTGATTGGTGGGTGGCTCCCTGGTGGTGGCAAGGCTCCCCTGGAGACTGCTGGCTCTCTAGTGCCTTGGGTAATAGAAGCTATGTGTTCTCCCTTCCTCTCTAAGCTATGTGTTCTCCTTTCCTCCCTCGCTGCTGATATTTTGCTAGTGATAAGTTTTTTTCCCCCCAGGGGCCCAGGGAGTGGAGATTGGCAGATTCTTGAGCCCCCACAGCAACTTCTCTCTACTGGTTGCCCCAGGCTGGTTACACCATCCTTTTGTTCCCCCTCCCCAAACCTCCCTTCTCTTTGCCTACCTCCTTTCACCCCTTTGCCTCAGGAATTTGTGCACAGGATCCCCAACCTTAGGGGCATTTGACCTCCCACACAGAGCTCTTCAGTGTTTAGAAACTCAGGAGGAGCCCAGAAGGGCTTGGAACAACCAGCAGGCTGAGGCTATGGACAGTCACAAATCATTTCGCATGCTTCCCACTGGTGCTCTAGATAAGGACACCCTTTGCCTGGAGAAAGATGCTGAAGTAGATTCTTATCCCAGGGCTCTCTAGCTAAAGAATCCTACCTCCCTGGGACCCTGCAGGAATGGCACTTCAGCTAGTTGACTACGTTAAGATTCTTAGTTCCTTCAAGGAACCGTACTTGTCCATCCAGCCTGCAATCTTAGTAACTGGAGACCCACAGTGACTTTCGGCACCATGATCTCCTGTCTTTCCATCCTCTAACTCGGGATGTACTGAGAAGGCCCATCCTTTTCCCTGCTACTCAGTAGCCATGAGGCCCAACACTTTGTCCCGTTTTCTTTAAGCCTTAGAACTATTTAGTACATGGTACAGCCACCTGCCTGGAGAGGTCAGCTCTCTAGGAGCCTATAATTCTTACCTGTCGGGAGGGGGTGACTCCTAATTGCTCCCCAAGCCACCAGAACTAAGCTTTCTTGTTCTAAGTGGGTGCCACCCCCTGGTGGGGTGGCAGTAACCTTGGAACATCATCAGGTAAGCCAGTTCAGTGTGAGGTTTCCCTCTTGGAGTGGGGTGAGAGCCTTAGAGGCCCCAGGCTCAGCCTGATTGGCTTTGTCATCACTCCAATGAAGAGAAGTTGGCAGCATGGATGAGCAGCAACAGCATATGATTTATAGTTAGGCCTGAGTTCAAGTCCTCATTCTAATAACATTAGGCAAGTTTCCTAACCTTTCTATACCTTAGTTTCCTAACATGCAAAATGTGGAATCTTGGAATTGCTGTGAAGACTAATAGAATAAAAAAATTAAAAGTCCACTCTGTAAACTAAAAAGCCCCGTACAAGTGCAAACTGTAAGGAGGAACTACACTCCCACAGCATAACTACCAACTCATGGTTATTTCTTCTACCCTGGAAAATGAACCTAAAGGGAGAGAAAGACAGCTGTGCAGGCTGGGACCAAGGAGGGGAGCTCTTTATGAGCTGAGACTGTGGCGTGGCAGTCTAAGCAGAAATATCGCCAGGGGTCTCAGCCAGCTGTCCTGTTTTCCGGCCACCCAGCAGATTGGACCCCTTGACCTCTTATACCTGGGGGAGACTCTGCTCATTCAACCCTGTATAACGCCTTAAGGGTGTGATAACCTCACCACCTATGGACGTACAAGACATTAACAGGGGTTGAAGCTCCCCAGTTTCATGATTAGAGCCCCGTATTTCTCAAGGCAAATTTTCAGAGCGCCTAGCGAGACCCTTAGCTCAGTTTCTTCATGGAAGGCCAAAGGAGCTCCCGGCCTTGCACTCTACAGGCAGGGCCCTCTCTCTTTTTTTTCATGACTAATATTCCTTAACAGGAAATGACAACTCTCCCCCCAAACCTGGAGAGCCCCTTACTAGGGGGAGTTGCTTGGCATTATAGGGTAAACTGAGGCAGGTAGCAGCTCACAGCCCCTTTTTTCTTAGTGCGTATGATCAGCTACGTTACCCCATGAATATCACTGTTCTTACCTTTTGCCAACTCCACTCCTTCTTCTTGGGAAGTGGAGTTCTGGGACGGAACCTCTACCCTGAGGTATTGGGGGTCAAGCAGGGAGTCCAAGTCATCCCACAGGAACGGGAGAAGAGGTGTTGGAGTGGGAGGTGGGGGAGGAGGGAAGGCTGCGCTCTTTGGAGAATCCACACAGCACAGAGGATAAAGACTTCTCTGTGGGAATAAGTGTTTGGGGCGGCCCAAGCCAACACTTGTGCCTGGAGTGTTGAGCAGTGAGCAGGGAATTCAATTTTCTCCAGGGCAAGGACAGTGTCTTATTCATCTGTGATCGTCCAGCATCAAGCACTGAGCGTGGCATATACTATGTCCTAAGTAAATGTTTGCCTAATTGACCATGGAAGGTGGATCTCTGGGGTGAGGGTGGGTGTAAAAGGGGCCCCAGAATGGCAGTGAGGAGGCTAGGGGGCCCGGGGCAGAGGGTACTGGGGCGCAGGTGAGGGGGTCAGAGTTACCTTCCATCCTGCTGAGCTGTTGCTGTCACCCTTGTCCTTGAAGTAGGGCACAGTGCGGACCATCCACTCATAGATCTGGGCGAGGGTCAGTCGCTTCTCCGGGGCGCTTTCAATGGCCTGGCTGATGAGCTCTGCATATGACTGATTTCCCCAGGCATTCCGGCGGGAGCCTCCCTTCCGAGGACGAGTTACGGCCCCCAGGATTGCGGGCTGGGGGCCCCCTGCCGGCTCTGGGAGCCGGGAGGGCAACAGGGTTGGCTCTGAGCGCCCCTCCGTGTGTACCTTCTCTCCCAGACCTGGCTCCACCTCGGGCGGCTCGGACGGCTGGGGAGCAAGCTCTGGTCGGGGAAGGGGCCAGGTGCAGGAGCGGGGACGAGTCTGGGGTGCGAAGTCGGGGTCGAGGTCTACGATCACGGCAGCCCCTGTGGCTGAATTCTCATGCCCTGGATCCATACGCGGAGGTGGACCTCAGCCGCTCAGCGTTCAGAGGAGCCTGCCACAGACCCTCGCGATGCCTCCCCCCAGGGGGGAAGCACCCAGGGCCGGGAGGCACATTCCTGCCAGTCCTCAGAAAGTCCAACTTCTCCCTCGCCCCAGGAGGCGAGCCCCTAAGCTGTCTCCTCCACACAGCACTCCGAGCCTCTCTGCGACTACAGCCGACAGCCTCGGAGCACTTTCCGAGACACCACCTGTAACCTCCGCCCAGCGGAGACACTTTTCCTCCGACCTCTCTCTCAGTCAGCTTCCTGCTCTTTTAAACCTGAGGCACCACAGCCCCTCATACATTGCGCTCGCATCCCGGAACGTCTCCTTCGCCGCAGTTCCCTCCCCCTTCTAAGTTTCTGCCCCCCGGACACTCCTCCCAAATTTCCTCCACCCTGATCGCTGCCCTCCCCCACGCCCCGCTCCCCCGCGTCACTTGCCCCTCCCCTGACTCCCCCTCCTCCGCCTCTTCCCTTCCCTCCACTCTTACGAGGGTCCACGTCTCCGCGGCCCCAGCCTCTCCTATTCCCGCACCAATTCCCCTACCAAACCCCCCCCACCCCCCGCCCCCCCGGGTTTCCCTTTTGTTTTGCTCCGAGCTACAGCCCCCGCCTGGCGTCTCTGTTTACCACTCGCTGGGGCAGCCATCTGCGCACGCGCCTGGAGAGCCAGTTGGGAAACCGAGTTCTTCAGTCTTGCCATCCCGCTCACGCTTGAGGACTACATTTCCCGTCCTGCTCCGCGGCCTTTCCCATCCCCTTCCCACCCCTCTTTCGCCCCCCTTCGCACCCCCTTCCTTGTGATTCGGGGTCGCCTAGGTGATCGTGTTGAGAGATGCTAGAACTTTCCCTCTTTCTGTTAAGACACGGCAAAAGAGAAAAAAAAAACCAAAAAACGCGGTCTCGACAAGTGGCAGAAAACCAAGAAGCAAAGAACTGACGAGAAAACAGGCTGTAAGCATGTTGGGGAGTTGGGTGGCGGGCTCCCGTAACATAAACAAAAGGTTAGCTGATGATAGTGTCTCCCCCACCCCTCTGCATCCCCCATACGCTGTTCACACTGACTGTGTGGCCGCTGACCATTCGGTTTTCTCCGCTGGCTCTTCTGGCCTCTCCCCTCAATACTGCTGTTCTCCAGGTTCCCATCTTCGCGCTGTCCTGCTCATTCAACAGGTCCGAAACTGAACTCATCGATGTGTTTCTGCACCCACGTCCCTATCCTCTGGCTACCCTTAGGTCTGAATTTGGTAAATGGTTGTCCTAATCTATCCAGTCTCCCTAGCTAGACTCCCCCCTCCCCTTTTCTTCTCCCCAACTTCCCACATCCAAATCCCTTTTCAGGATCTGATTTGGCACGGGATTAAATTTCAGTGTCATCTTAATTGGACCCCCTGTCATCAGTCTTTACCCCGACTGCAGTGTATGTTTGGTGCTACCAAGAAAGTTACCTTTCTAAGAAACCTTCCTGACAATGATAGCTAAAATGTACGGAGCGCCTGTTATGTGCCAGGCGCTGTGCCCATTGCTTTACATACACACAAGCTCATTTTTCCTCAAGTCAACCCTGTGAGATGGGTACCACTGTTATCCCCACTTTTTAGATGAAGACACTAATGCTAAGAGATGTAGTGACTTGCCCAAAGTCACACGCTAGGAGGCAGAACTGGGATCCTTTTCACGTGCATGTGATCACATAATTTCCCTGCTGAAAACTTCCTTTGATTTGCCCCATTGCCTTTGTGATAAAGTTCAGCCTCCCTAGCAAGGCGTGCAGGTCTTTTCAGAGTCCGGCCACTTCCCACCTTTCTTGCTTCATCTTTCACTGGGCACACTAAGTTCCAACCAGTCGGAATTTCACATGATTTCCTGGAAATACCGTCCCCTTTTGTGCCTTTCCCAGCGCGGGGTCACATAGAAGACATTCAGGAAATGTAGGGCGAATGACGGGGATCAGGAATTGAATGACATTGCATTTGTACATTTGACAGCTTTTGAATAAATGTACGATATGCGTTTTCTGCCTCTCAAAGCCCCGATTTTCCTGTTAGACGGCAAGCTCCTAGGGGTGGGTCTATAACTGAACGTGTCTGTAGAGTGCCTGGTGCTATACCATTTGCAGTGTGGCTCTGTGATGAGCAGGCCTTCCTCCTGTCGGGAAGGATTTCCATACAACGCAGGATTTTTCAGAGGTGGCAGCACATCGGGCCTTCAAAGTGATATTAGTCTGCTCACAGTAACATAACCACGTTGTCCTGTCTCCTTCTACTCCAGCAGGATTTGTCCTCCATCTGTCGTGTACCATGTACTCCCCCTATCTGAAGTCCAGTTGTTCACAATGCCTGGCAGCCATTTCCTGCGAATGCCTCGTCCTCCTGCAGCACAGCCTGGAGTACATGGTAAGTGCTGCATGAGTGGCGACTTTGGTAGAGTAGACCTGGTGGGCACTAGGTCACAGGGAGCTCTCTGCTAACTGAACAGGTGTGGTGGCAGTTCACGCAGAGCCGCTGAGACAGAGAAATGGCAGGGTGGGTGGGGCAGGCACCTGTCCTGGCTTGACTTATATCTTGCATTGTCTCCCTTTGTGCATTTGTTTGAAAAGGTCCACCTTTCCACCAACTCATGTCCATCACCTCCTTCAATTTCCAATTCAATGCTCAAAACTTACATGGTCTTGGAAACTTTCCCTGACTAGTCCGACCTGACAGATCGCTTATCTACCCGGCATCTCCTGAACCTCTGTGAACTCATTTTGTGTTCTTTAATTTTGTGCTTGTGGTTACATGGCTTTTCATTTCATGAGGGCATATTGTCTCTCCAAGTAGCTTATAAACTCTGCAGTCAATCAACAAATGCTTATTGAGCTTTTACTGTTAAGATGAGAGTATACCTTGAAACCCCAGACAGAGAAAAATGACCGTGAACCACAGGACCAGATGATTTAGGAGGGTGAGCTAAAGGACTGGTGGAAGGGTGCAAACAGCACGTCTTTAAAGCATGCCTCTAGAGAGGTCAGGGTTATTCATCTTATTACTGTCGGAGTGTTAGAATATACATTAGTCAAGAGAATATACATTAGCAAGGTGGCCTCAGAAAATAGAAGAGAGCCGGGTCAGTAGAGAGGACTAACAGGAAGCCCCTGGAAACCACTGTAGTCATACATTATGAACAGACATTGCAAGATATGGGGGGGGGCCCACAGGTCTTTTCCCAGTTGAAATCCCAGAGTTTATGGTCTCAACTAGCTCCCCACTCATCACTTGTTTTTTCCTCCTGCCTCTTTCACTGTCACCACCCACTCTTCTACCTGGGTGCCACCCCCCAAGCCTGCTGCCAAACCGGCTTTATTAATTTGAATCCAGATAGACATTTCCCCACTTCTTTCCTTCCCTGCCCAGCTCTGAAAACACACACACACACACACACACACACCTAGGGTTTGCATAGGATTTTTCCTGGTAACTACAGGGAAAGATGTGAAGGTTAACAAACACAGCAATAGGAAAGTTCAAGGAGTCTCAGAAAGCACCACCTCTACTTGTCTCGGGTCTTCACACACGTGTCTGAACATACATATTTTTAGTAGCCTTCTTCCCTAAGTCCTTCCTTATGTGTTTCTGTGAAATATTTCTGGTCCACCCTCCCAACCCTGTTGTTGTTTTAAAACATCTTTTCAGTTAGTCAACATTTCTTAGGAGCCTACAATTTTCCAGACCCCAGGCTAGGTGCTTTTACGTCAAGTGCAGCCCAGACTACAGTCATCAGGTTTAGTCCCAAGTATATCTGAGTTGGCACCACTATGAAGTTCTAGGCAATATTCAGTCCTTCCCGGACCCTGGAAGTCAGTCCGATGCAGTGAAAAGGGCACTAGATTGAGTCAGGAGATCTGAGTCCTTGCCCTAGCTCTGTCACAGACTGGTGGAATAGAGATAAAATTACACTACTATTAATAAGTAACATTTCTTGAGGTTTTTATTCTGTATTAGGCACTCTGCTAAGAGCTTTACACGAATCATCATCTGATTTAATCCACACAATAAGCATGTAAGTTTAATGCCTTTCAAACAGGAAAATGTGGCTTAGAGAGGTTGTGAAGGGACCTGCTTAATGTCCAGAGTTACTAAGTGGTAGGGCAGAGTGACGAATCCAGGCAGTGTGACCCCAGAGCCTACAACATGTCAGGTCACCTTCTCCGGCTTTGGTTGCTTCGGTTGTAAAATGAGAATGTTGTGGTAGAAGGTCTCTAAGTCTGTGCCAGCTCTAAAACCCTGTCTCCTGTGGTCTTCCATTTGGGTACAAGACCCCATATTGTCCTTCAGGCCTAAGGCAGCCCGGAGCTTTCACTTCACACCCGCACAAATTTGGCGCTGGTGTGCAAGACCTCCTGGCATGATATTTACCAGAATACCAGAAAGTTTCCAATACATGAAAACATATCTGAAAATTACATGAAAAGAGAATATGCTCATAATCTTGTTTAAAACACACTGATAAAAGATAGGGAGAAATGCCAAAAAGTGTTAACAGTGGTTATCTTTTTTCTTTTAACTTTCTTATAGTTTTCCAACTTACTATGACTGTGTATAACTTTCAAACTGGGGGAAATGCTTTATGTTTTGCCTCTTCCTAGAAGGGATTAGAGGCACTTTACCAAAAAAAACACAAGAGTACAAATGTCATAAGATTATAGAAATAGAACATCAGAGGCAGGGAAAGGAAGAGGGAGCTAAATTCACCTTTTGGGGCAGCCAGAGGAAAGGGGGATCACAGTAAAATCCACAATTCTTGTTATCAGAAAGAAAGATACATAGCAATTCCTCAAGAGAGACAGATTTTCCTGTCACTAAATTCCTTTTTCCCCCAATTGGAGAGACAGGGCTCCAGCAGACAAAAAATGTTTGAAAAAACAAAACATTTCTAATCCCATTGCCCTCATACAGTTTGCATCTTTGCCTATCAGCTTTCAGTCCTCGTCCACAGACACAAATAATTTTACATGGCTGCAATTAGAGTCTATATGCCATTTTGTGTTCTGTTTTTTTCAATGAACATATCATAAACACATTTTCATATTTAGTCTTCCAGAATTATAATTTTTAACAGCTAGGTAATGGTCCATTGCTGGCACTAAATTCCATAAGAAGTCTCTCTGTGGGATTAACATGAGGGACAGTGTCCTCAGTAACAGCCCCATAATGCACACAGAAGAGATTTTCATATTACTTTCTTGTAACTACCCTGGCCGAAAGCCAAGGGTGTAACATTAAGGTGGGAGGGCAGTGGATGGGGGGTGGGGGGTTGTTACTTTGTGAGGGTGAAAAGGGTAACTATTGCATTGTTCTGTACACCTGAAACTAACAATAAGTAAATAAATTTAAAAAAAAAAAAAAAGCATTCTGCAGGGGCAGAGCCAATATGGCGCAGGCATGTAACCTTCTGGGGCTCTGACTTTATCTGAGGACACAACTTAAAATGCCACCTAAAGAAGTGGATGGATACAATGTCCCTCACAATATATTGCATAAATATCACTTCTTGCAGCCAGGCTTTTTACAGGACCTCGGAGGCTGACTACACTTACTCTCTCATGACCGGCGAAAGTGTCGGTAAGTTCTGTTGTTGACTGAGGCAGGAGCCGTATGTTTTGGAAGCCAGACGAACAGGTGGTGGGGTGACAGGGTTAACATTCTGGCTTGAAAGTTGAGAAGCCTGACCAGCATGGTTGCCTGCGTGGAAGTTTACCTCATATCCCTGTGGAGGTAGGGTCCAGGTGAAGCCAGATTTTCCCTAGGAAGCAAGCAGCCTTTGGATCTGAGTTCCACACCAAAGATGAGGGATTTTTTATCTAAACAGCTTTCAAAGCCCATAACCAGTCAGGTGGCCTGGGCATAGGAAGGGAAGTCTCGTAAATATTCCAATAGAATCTCAGGTTTTAGGAACTGTAGGGTCCCAATGTGCCTGCCAGTAGGAATTAGCTGCAGAACAGGGTTTTATATTGAAAAATTGAATTTTGGAGACTGTCACCAAGGACCATTAAAAATTTTTACAGAAATGATGTTGAGCTGTTACTTCTGGCACTAATTATATACCAGAGCCAATTGCCTCTTAATTACACCTCATATGTGAAAATACTATGTCAGCAGCATAAAGGTGGATTCATGTGTTACTTAAAATTTTTTATTGTATTAACATTATAGCCACAAAACAAAAACCCTTTCAAAAACAGAGAAATGGAACAACGTAGTTATCCACAATCCCACCATCTTAACACAACTATCAGCAGGGTTTTGTGGACTTCCCTTATTTTTTCACCACCATGTTTTTATGTATTTATAGTCATATTGTGTATATAAACTTGAGTCCTGTTTTAATAATATAATTACATAAGTAAAGTGGTCGGAGAGTGGGCCCTCCTCGGCGCAAAGTCCAGGTGCTTGGCAACTCAAGCAAAGAATTGAACGAGATGCCGGAGTAAAGTAACTGAAAAAGTAGTTTATTTGAAGAGATAGTACATTTCAAAGAGTTTGGAGCGGGCCACCCGCAAAGGCGAGGCTCAAAGAGGGAGGAAGGGGTTGAAAAAGGGAAGAAACGGTCAAAAAGAGCAGGGTGGACTTCCCAGGACTTGCAGTTTTTATTCCCTTTCTCTAGAATGGGCTGTTCCCCTATGGGCGTGGGACCACTTGATTGGCACCTTTGATTGACAAGAGGTACTTGCACAGGTGCAAGTGACTGGTATGATCTAGTTGGGATTTTTGTGCCCATTTGTTTTCCCACAGGGGTAGGTAATTACAATACAAAGGGGAGTTTTGGGTGAAGAGGGGATGTCCCCTTGACGGTCGCACTCCGTGGGACGTGCAGGAATGCAGAGACCCAATGCCTGCCTCTAACTGCCTGCCTTGTTTTCCCGCCTTGAGAGACGTGATCCCCATAAAATCTCTATAGGAAGTTGAGGGACAGGAGGTCTCTTCTTCTGTATCTACTTCCTGCTGGGCAGGGGCGTAGAGCTGTCCCTGCCTATTGGGGGATTCACGGAACTCTCGCCCTAGCTGATCTCAGATGAGAGGAAAGGGTCTCGAGCTCCACCTGGAAGACCATGTTGGCTTCTTTGGTTGTGACTGGCAATCTTGTTGGGGTACCCTCTGTATCCCCAAGGCCCCTGAATGAGGAAAAATAGATTCTAATTAATAAATCGGTTAGCTCTCATGAAGGTTGGGGCCATTCAGCCCATCACTCAGGTGGCGTCAGTTGTCTGGCCCCAAAATGGGTTTGGCATTTAGCTTACTGGCCTGGAGGATATTAGGAAGTCAAGGCTTTCAAGTAGTTATCTGAAGCAGGGGTGGGAGACTTCTATTGTTTAGGATTAAGAAACTGATTTACAGGGCCAGTCAAGTGGCGCGTT